ACTATCCTATATGTATCGGGACATACGTGGTACGATTCCCCTCCGAGGCATCGTCTTTAGTTCTCTTTTTTCTTCACTTCGCTGTATATTCATTACTCACACGTCTAGTCCGCGATGAATCTATATGCGTTTATTCTCTTTCTTAACGTGAAGCTGCTGTTAGTTACTCTGACGATGAGGTCGAGAAAGAATGAGTAAAAGAAAAAGAGAAAAAGTGAAGCAAAAATATTCGAGAAGCACATGCATGCAAAAAAAAAGCAGAATGAATGATAGTATGCAACAAGTGCAATTGGTTTTGTAGCAAAAACCTTGTTACTTTGTCTCAATTCGCAATAATCAAATTCACGTGTGATGAATGGATATTTTAGCACACATTGTTCATCCAACACTAGAGATCAAAACAATCATGCGCTTCAAAATCGGGTAATCAGAAGGTGTCAGATAAGCAGCGTTTTGCATCCACATGTCAACAGTCGACGAACACATCGATGGAGACTTTTATTCCTTCTCGCATTTATTGTAATCGCTTTCTACTTACTCGTCTGGCAGCCGTTCTTTTCTGACCTCGCTGTCATCGGGATCTGGAAAGTACGCAATTATGCCTATCAAAAACGCTATTGGGACACGATTCTTATGCCAAGCCGTTCGCTCTGTCATATGCGAAAGTATCCACTTCTTTACGTTCTATCGTCGACGAATGCCGATCTCGTTTGGGAAATGTCATGTCGTCCATTAAATGATATTTATTTGGAATGTTACACTATCGACTTAAACTCTTCCAACAACGCTCACCAGTACATCTCTATTATTGTTCGACCAATCAGTTTGGATGAAGTGCACTGGGTGTACCGTGCTCATCTCGGATCCTTACGAGCACAAACACAGTATCAGTATGAGATCTTTTCAATGAAAAATGGAAAACGTATATTTCATCATCCAAAACAAGAGTTCTACTGGGTAGGAGAGGGCGGAAACGAAACACTTCATATCGGAATTATTAGTGACAATCAATATGGTCTTCGAACTTTCATGACTATCTTGCGTTCTCTCGTCAGCCTTCCCACCTCTTATCCCTTGCAATATACGACATCTTCCGCCAGCAAAGGTTTTCCACACTATCTCGTTCATGCAGGCGATGCAGTTCAGTCTTATAATTCTCTTGAAGAATGGCAAACGAATTTTGCTGATCCGCTATCATCCGCTTGGAGTAATGGACAAATGCACTCCGTACCGGCGATCCTCTATGCCCATGGTAATCACGACCAAGATACAACAAACTTATACACATACACAACCGGACCACGAAAAGGCGAAAATTGGTTCAGTGCAACTCTGGGTACAGCTCGTTTCGTCGTGCTCGATTCGCAACCATCGAAACTGTTTGAAACTCAAATTGACTGGCTTCAACGGGAAATTCGTTTAAAGACATGGAGTGGTGCATCATTCCGAATTGCCATTGTTCATATTGCACCCTTCATCGAATACTGGGATCCCCGTGCATGGGAAGAACTTGGTGAGAAACACTGGGGAAATTATGTACGAACACAATTAGTACCGATCCTCATGAGTGGTGGAGTGGATTTGATTATCAGTGGACATCAGCATGCCTATTCACGAGGATGGATTTCGAACGAAGTGGCGAAAGAGCTCACCAAAGACGAATTGAAAGTTAGCACGAACAAGAGTGGAAAACGTGAACATGTGCAGTTTATGACTAACAGTTGGAAGCGAAGACGTAATTTACAAGGCAAGGATAACTTCACTTATTCTGTCGGTCGCCTTCGAGAGGGTACAATGATAACAGTAATCGGCGGCGCTGGAGGTCAGCTTGATTTGGAACGGGTTGAGGACTGGGGCTTTTACGAGACAAGCCTAACTGGACGACACAACTTTGCAGTGATTACATTGGATCGTGGAGGATTTCGCTTGATGTGGAGAGCGTACGATATGAATATTCAGTTAATAGATAAATTTGAACTTTTACGAACATACGGTGACTGAAATGTCTCAGGATTTATTTTGAATAGAATAAATTAGATCTATAATTCTAATCAAATTTAGATGAGAACGCAAGGGTACTACATCATAATTATTGCAACAGATCATACCACGGAAAGCAATCGATCTGGATAAAGTGATACAATAGCAGCAGCATATATAAGCAGATGCTTGTTCAAATGATTCAAATCAGAGAGAGAGAGAAAGAGAGTACTATCCCTTTTTTCGAAATTAAAGTCGTAGTGACATATGAGGATATCAACCTAAAAACAGATGCACTAGGCGGAAACATCAAGCGCCGAAGGCAATTTATAGTTATGACAAGATTCTAACATAAGAGACGAGAGAACAAACATTGACAACAATATTTGGGGGAACGAATACAAATGACTCGGTGTAATCGAACGTAAGCAAATAACACAAGCTCAAGCACAGAAAAGCTTCATTACTTGTCAATCGCTAGCATTTGAAATAACAGAAGGCACTAGCCCCACGCATTAACAAATAGTTGGATTAATAATCTATATACTACAGGAAACAAAATGAGAATGCTAACAAGTAACTGAAATACAACACGGATGAGTTGAGTCTGGTACAATTCGATAATAAATAAACAGTGTCCTATATTCAAATATACTTAGTGAAAGGCGCACGGAAATGGCTTATTAACAACCGAACAACGAATCACATTTTGCTAAACTCTCAAAAAACCACATCGATGTATTGTTTTCAAAGAAGTCTCAATCATGCATGTTGACCAACGACAACAAAGTTTAGAAGAAATCATCATGCACTATTACAATGAACTAATGGCATTGTTTGATGTCATCAATCTTCAAATGAGTGAAACATTGAAAGTTAGTTAATATTTGAATAGATAATGGCACGTCCATGATTTGGGACATTCGGTAAAACGATTACTTTTGTAAATAATGTCATAGCATCAGAATATCGCTATTCTTTATTGGTACATGAGTCTAATAAATTTAAAAGTAATAATTCTTTCACATTTTCTTCATTAATTGATTGAGTGAAAGGATCAAATATACTATAATCTTTTAGTTTATCTATTTCATTGTTGTCATCACTAAATGTAAGAAGAATCACTTTTAATTTCGACGATAATTGATTAAACTCGGTATCGGTAATATTCTTCAATTTATGATTATTGTATTTCAACTATTTTCAGATGATTTGGACAATCAGTATTTAATATGAGAGTAGTTAATGTTGTTAAATTCCATTCATTTGATTCTTCATTTAAAATGGATGTTTTCTAAACAGCCATTAAATTGAAGTTTTTACTTTTTCCAATAACATTAGCTAAAAAATTGCTTCCATATTTGGATGAATCATCTCATATTTGACCGCCAGTAAAAAGAATATATGGATTTTTCAATAATCGACGAAGTGAGACATATGAGCACAACTTACTTAATTGTATCAGTGTGTTTTATACAGCTATGCTGTTGAAGAACTATTGATATAGCTACACACAACCATACTAGAAACGAAAACATGGTATCAAAATTCTTACAGAAAAATGACGAAGAATGTTATCCTGTCTTTTGCTAGTTTTCTCATACAATTTTCATTGTTCGAACTTAGATACTCTCTTACGCATTCACTGTGCAATATTCTCTGAAATTTTTGATACAGATTATAGTGGGTAATGTTTCAGATCACAATTTGAGCATAGGACTTTGTTTAAAGCCTAAGGTTCTGTGATGAAGATTTATAAAAAATTCGACGATTTGGATGGGAATATTTGTATTGCTTTGTTCTTCAATCGCATCCATACGCAAACCGACAGCGATAGAAATAGTGATATCAATCAAAATATGCCCTTGCACGAGTTACATTATGTTGTTCAACATGTACTTGATGAACTAGCCTATCCTTTTTTTATTATTTCGAGAATATATCTCTTAAACTTTGTTTATAGGCAGCTGTTTCTATTTGAAACTCATCCTTCTGAATATTTTTCATTTTCCACATTTTTTTTCTTTATTTGCCTTGTTGCTATTAACTCGTTACTTTTTCTTTTATATTCCATTTCTCTTAATTTAACAGTATTGTTGTTAATCTAACCATTGATTTAACTAGAAAAAAAATCCTATTGCGCATATTCACCATATCTACAGCAATTCTCAACGCGAGCGCTCTTATCCATCTTGATCAATTCACAAACACTGGTATTAATTATTCTCAAAAGTTAGAATTTGATCAGTTAGTGCTTTTTATATATGAACCATATGACGACTCGGATAAATCAATATATCATCAACCATCTTGACTGACATCTATCGCATAATTATCTATCATAGAATCATTTATCTGCACTATTTAGAATATTTGATAACATATTCCAGTTATTGAAATTTCAAAGACGACTTTGGAATATTCTAGAACAGTTCAAGTGCCTGTTGTCTTCGGTTTCTTCGGCAGTATTGATGCTCAATTATTCCTGAGTATCATCTCTAAGACTTATATGCTATACCAATGGATCACACTGAGTATTTCATTCTGTGTCGTTGCACTCATTAATGAGTTGTTGTCTGCTCCATTTTTTTTCTACTTTTCAAATTATTAAGTAAAACTTTACTTTTTTTTCCATCTTATTGATCATTATTGGAAACGATCAGAAAAACAACCATCAGAAGTGATGTCGTTACAATTAAAAAAGTCTGTGACTGAAAATTTATCATGAAAGAAATACTGAAAACCGCTGTCATTTATCGATTCTGAGAATTTTTTGAAATTTTAGTTTTTATTTGATTGATTTCAATGAGATTCTACGCGCATTCTGAATTCAACATGATCTATGAAATTTAGATCTTGACGCTTAAAAGTAAATCCCATGATTTACAACATCATGTGATCTTTGTGAATATAATAAAATAGAATGTTGATATCTAATTATATGCTCAACTGTTCTTGACTATTTTTTGTTTGTCGCTATGACAAATTAGTATTCATCTAAATGGATTTTTCATCAATAATTAGAGTTCTTTTTGAAAACAAAGCCAAAAAAAAAGAATTGTTAATAATGAAGAAGAATTGCAGACCGAATGAGATGTTACATGACAGTTATCATAAAAATCCGGACCTAGAGTACATTGAATTTCTTCGATGATAGACATTGAACAGACTGTAGAATAAATATCGTTTAGAAGTTGTGCACGAACAACACCTGAAGATACAGTTAATCGATTCAATAGTTCGTTATTCAGACCTGGAAAGGCCCATTCATTTCCATTTTTTGTTAATAAATCAACGAGTTGTTCTCGTTCAATATCTGTTGTACAATTAAATGGATCAATAGTGGCATGCGCTATAGTATCAAAATCGGGCTGTACACGTATTTGATGTAGAAGGTATAGATGAATTTCGGTTTGATTATTAACGATCATGTTCGAAAGAAGATAGCTCGAGTAGCGTAGTGGTTGATACGGTTCGATTTCGGATGCATTCAATTGAACGATCGTTAGGGAAGGCCAAACAATTTCGAGGGTGATATTGCATAAGTATTGTCCACCTTGTTCAAAATTACCGATAAATAGTTGAGCGGAAAATGTTGTCATATTGCCATTGAGTAAATTATTCAATGACCATAAATCTGGCAAGATCGTCCACTGATTCTGAAGAACATTCGTATTTGTCGGTAAGGATAGAGAATTCACATTTGGATGCGTCACTTTTGCCATCAAGACTAGTTGAAAATCGTGTGGTGTACGAAACATTGGTTTGTGAGAAATCCAAACGAGATCTAGTGTACTCAATGGTAATAATATGAATCCATGTTCGGCCATCCGTCCGTTGGATGGATACGGAGGTAATTGAGATGGATTGGGATCGACGATAAATGCATCATAATAGGCTTTATGTCGTTGATCGAATCCTGCTTTCCATTGTTCTTGTAATTCATTATTGAGTTGATGTAAATGATCTAATGACAAATTGAGTAGACGCTCTTTTGGTTGATAGGTAGCACCAATTGGATAATCGACTTTATCTATTTGAGTCATTTCAATATGTGCACCGAGAATAGCATTCACATTAAGATGATTTGATTCAATGAAATATAATAGACGTTGAATCGAATCGACATTAGCCGAAAAATTTGCGATATACAAACGTCCTGGTAGCAGTGAATCACCTGTAAACAACAATCTAGTCGCACAATCGTAGAAGGCTATCGAAGCATTTTCATGACCTGGTATAGGTATGATGGCTACTTGACGCTGATTGTCGAGTGCAAAAGTGCCAATCGAATATGGCCATTTTGACAATTTAAAAAAGTAACTCACATTTTCTACGGTTGTACCTACAACAGTGGTAAACAATTGACCTTGAAATTGTCCATCACCAGCAATATGATCAAGATGATTGTGAGTATGAGCAACGACTAACTTCAGGTCTTCACGTTTTTTCTTTTTGTTAATACACCAACGATTAATAATAGTTTCAACATGTTGTCGGATGGGAAATGAAGTCAATGAGACGGTTGCACCACTATCAATAAGTAAGATTTTCTTTGTTCCAAAGAGAAGGTACATGAAGGGAGCTTCATAATTAATACACTTATTTTCACGAAGTATAAATGTATCATTATTCACAGCAAATACATTCACATCAGGTTCTTTCGCTTTATGATGGAAACAATTGATGGAGCCACTTGTCCAGTTGGTCGGTAGCTCGATTCGGAGAAAAGTAGTATTCTTGGAACAAGTAAATGAAGTACTTGCATCAGCTGACATGCAGATAAGAAGAAGAATCAATGAGAGAAGCATTCTCAGAAAGATAGGCAATCCGTGTATAATCTGAAAAAAAAACATGTAAGTCAAAAGACATATTGATATCAATTCCGTTCCCTTCTGTCATTGGATAAACATAATGCATAGTATGAATATAAAGTCTTTTGCTAATCTTTGAGGACTGGGAGTTGTGTTATTTAGAATTAATCGAAAAGAATTTAAAAGCTTGTAGAAGAAGTCTTGCTTAATTCAAAATGTAAAACACGATTGTTCATGTGTTGAATTGTATGTAGCGAGAAAAGTGAGAGCAGCTATCACTCCAGTCACTTTCCTACAGACACGTAAAACTTATGTCAATATTCTATGGTGGAGTTTTCGTCCATACAATTGTGAATTTTTAAATTTCGAATCGATTAGAAATTCTCAAATTCGAACGTCGATTTTTTTCTCGTAATGGGATATACTAGCACCTGCCAAAAATATCTGAATATGATTTCCCCCTTGATCTTCTGATGAATTTTAATAAATATAAGAAGTATCTCTATAGTCATGTGTAGCGACTTCATTCTATTTCATATTTTAATCACGTAGAGATTATGTTGAAAAGTTTCTAGCCAGTTATTTTATAGAGGTATAGTGTGACTGAAGAGTGAGAAATAAACTAGTGTGTAAGATGAGACATCTATAACAAGGATATCAAGACCGCATAGAGAGTCAAAAGAAAACGTCGATTGATTGGACTATGATGGAGCGATTTGAGAATAGTTTATAATGAATATTTTTGTACGCTTCATGGTGACTTTGAGTAAAAAATACATACTCGTAATTATAATATAACCTTTAAAGTATTTCTTGATTTTACACGAGAGATGAAGCTACTCTCTTTATTATTGTAAAATTTTCTTCTCTTTCTGCTATTTGCAATGTATTTAATGATGACTATGCAAAAATAAGACATTTTCAAATCATTGTTATGCCATTATACAACCAGTAGCTGTTCTGTTGTCTTCTATGCAGTATATCTGCGTCGTCTAGAAAACAGAAGCAATAAAATACTAGGTGTTACGTATAAAAATAACAGTAATTTGAAAATATCGTACCTTTGCAATGTTTTCATTGGTTACGCTTAGGCTAGGATACGACGGTATGCGAATTAGGATACAGAGATGAATCTCACTTTCACCCATTCACGTACTAAATCTTTTTTTTGGTCGTCACTGTGTCGACATTGTCGATCGACAATATATAATAAATCTGACAACCGTTACATTAATAAGAAAACTTCAGCTCGAGTTATGATCATTCGAGTGATAGCATGGCGAGATACGAAAAATATTTCTTCTTCTTTGCCTAATCCTATTTGTTGAAGAACAGAGTGGTAGTGACTGATCAAAGATAGAGATAGCAGTAAGGTGATGATGGCAAGAATCATTGAAGATGAGGTAGCGTTGACGAGTAAGTATTTGTTATTTTGTGACTAAAAGCCAAACATAGATACTAAAGAAATCGACACTGAAAATCAGAGTCTATGATTCTAATTGACCACCATCAGGAAACAGACTAGGATCACGAAAGATCGAACATCATTTCTAAAGATTAATTTTTTAGATCTTTGACGTTGAGTGTGCGAGAATGCAAATGAAGAAAAAAATCTCACTTACATCTACAATATCTACAAATCCTATCTCCACATATTCACAGCTTGCGAATGATGGTGATGAAGAAATCTGAACGATTGATCATCTTCTAACATTTGGAATTATTCAAATAAGTGACGAAATATGATTAGATTAAAACCGAGAAAGAAATTTTCAACTGGATTATTGTCTGATTTGTGTTTCCATTAGCAATTAAATATCAGAGAGACATTGAATTTCAGAACACGACTAAGTGTGTCACTCAAGTCATCATAGGGTTTTAATCACCAACATTTACTTGCAGTATGTTAATATAGTTGATAGGCTTTCGCACTTGTCTATTTTGTTTTTCTTCGAGCGTTTCTTCTTCAGCTTTCAATAGTTCTGGTGTTTGGTTAAGACCATAGGCCTTTAAAGCCTAGTTATAGCCATTTTACTGAAATTTCACCAATAGATAAATCTGATAATTCTGGGAATATCCTAAAAGTTTCAGCCGAAAAGAATGTCTCTTTGTCAAGATCTTGAATTTCCAAAAAATAGTCATTTGCTATAGATATGTCTCAAAACTCGAGTTTACTGGAAAATTCAATATCTCAACAAAGGAATATTTTCACAGATATTACATGTATCTATGAGCAAAATTTCAGGTTAAGATTTCGCTATTTGATTTTCCAGCAATTACCTAAAAATGGGTCAAAAATTCAGTAAAAAAATCATAACTCAACTCCAAAGATCCATAAGCACAAATCATTTTTAGAAGTTTACTAGTCTTACCAAGATCTCTTTGTGAATTCCATATGAACTAAAATGGTGAATTACAGCTGGGCTAGTTCTCGTCAATGCTATAGAAAAATCAATGTTTTGAAAATAATTATATTCTCTTTATTCACAATCTATGCACTATCATACATAGTTTCGACGAAATAAACATCCATAGTTGTTTTGCATACGACGATAACTTATCTTTGTGTCATCTCAACATACATTATATTTAGATATAACAGAATGTGCTCTTTCTTTTTCTATGTCGATTGCTTTTATATAAATATAAGAAATAATCTCTCATAGAGCAAACAACAAAGATGCCTATTGAGAACGACATCGACAGAAAAAAGCTGCTCTGATCGTTTCCTAAATTGACAGCTCAAATATTATCTTTATCTTTTGGCAATAAGCATGCATATTGTTTGACAAATAATTAGCAAGCTGTAGATTGATAACTAAATGAAAATGTGTGCAGCATTTATAGAAACTGATGGATTACATATGCAGATATTAGTTATGTTAATCACGATCGGTGACCAAGGCTTAAAAATGTCTTAGAAAAAGAGAAGTATAGTAATTCATATTCTCCCATTTTCTATGCTTCTGTACTAACCAACAAGAAAGAAAAACAAATCAAATGCAACACTTCACTTATGATAGCTACTACTCAAACATTTCCCAATGTTGCACAATTGAGACGATCACAAAAAAAATCAAATATTGAAAATACAGAAAAATTCAGGAAATACTTCAATGTGATGAATTTATATTGTACCAAACAGCATTTGTCAGTACAGTTAAATTTATGAGAAGAAGCTTCATAGAAGAAAAAAAAAGAAATCCGACAATTTTTTTATTATCTTTTACTTGAAAATGAAATTACATGTTGAACACATTGACAATTATTGTTTTCGTCAATAGACATGTGCATTGCGAAATTCGAACAATGACTATAAAAAAAAGAACACTTGAAGAGAACGTAAAGTCAATGATGTAGTCGAAAAATTAGTTTATTATCAAGAAGTATCTAATTCATTTTTCTTTTATCATTGTTCAATTTTATTGGAAAGCTCGTAGACTAAATTTTTATAATTGATTATACATGCGCATTTCACTTCGAGATTACTGAAATTTCTGAGCATACACACAATTCAAATGTGAAGGGTATCCAAGATGAACACACTTTGCATACTTTAACATCTTTGTTTCAACTACGTAGATTTTTATAGTAAAACTTCCAAGACTTTTTCATATTATGTCCATTATACTTCGACATCACATTAACGAATATTAACATATTCTGCCTGTGTTGTTGTGTCAAGTAAGAAAGATCTGACTATGTCTTTTGCATTGAATTTTCCAACTATTTCTTGAGCATGGTAGACTGGGAAAGATAGCATTTTTATTTATTATACAATCGGATACTCCATTACAGAATCATATATTCGACAAGAAGCATTTTCTCTTATATAGAGCTTTGATGAGTTAATGAAAATACTAGAACTAATGTAATGATATAATTTAAACTGATAGACTATATTGTTATTCTAGAATTCTAACTTGTTCTTTGATCGTCATCGTTATGTCTGAATTATTGTTTGTCTTCTTTTAAACTAACAAGTTGTGGAATAAATATTCATTCAGACATTAGAAAATCATTTCCTATCAAAATTTACGAATAGAGTAACATCGTTGAGAAAAGAGAGAAGATTTAGCAACTGATTGATGACATTTTGTAACTTTCAATCTGTTTTATTCGATGTAATCCATGTACATAATGTATCAAATTCATATCGTCACTATATTTTGCTTATAAAGAGAGCTGCCAACATCTTCACACATCTAAGAACAAAGTTCAAACGGCTATTGTTGAGTGATAGATGCTGAATCATAGGAAAAATTGCACTAGTGCAATTTTGGTCACGTTGCTAAAAGAGAAAACCAAACATGTTATTCATCCATTACTACGAAAGATTCATAATAGTTTTTGATAGAAAGCAAATGGATCTTAACAGTTCTATATTGGCAAATCATATGAAACATCATTGACAAAAATGGGTTTATCATATCCAAAGCTAGTAGCCGACTCTAACAGAGACCAGAAACTATTGCGAGTAATTATATCTGGACTTCGATCAGTTGATATGTATGTTGGATTTTGTTGTTGTTTCACTCGTTCATAGCCTATGCATATGATCTAATCTTTTAAAATTCTTCGTTTTTAGAATTACTTAGTTTGTAAAACACTTGAAATGAACTGTAATTGTGCTTGAAACATGCACACAAATGAAAAAAACTCAATAATAGAATGTGACAAAATTTTGTTTTGAAGTTTAACCATCTCAAATGTGTTTTTTGTGCAATACATTTGATAGCATCTATGATAGGCACGAAGGAAGCGTTTCATTTATGTCAGAATGCATCTTTGCGTTCATTTTGGAATATAACTCACAGTTTAGACACTACCTATAGATATTCATTCATTCTACCATTCTGTCAGTTTGACACTAGATAAAAATAAAGAAATTAATAAGAAAAAGATTTCTTTTGATCATATGATGCTAATTCATTGACAGAACGAGACTGATCTGCAACTCTATCTTGAATTATGGTTTATCTGGTCTTGTTCTTCAATCCAATTCACTGATTTCTATGAACAATGATTTATTAGAGCGTTTGGGTATGAAGCGTGCGTATGCAGTTAACTTGTGGAGCCACATCCTTACACAAAGAATTCGTTGAGATCTTTCTATCAGCGATTAACTCTATAATCGATTTTTCGATAGAAAACTAACTCTTGAATGTTGTAGAGTGATTTATAGTTTGGTGAACCCTAATATGCCACTACTCTAGATCATTGGATTTTTTCTAATCATTTTTTTTCGTACATTTTCTGTTTCTATCATGGAGTGTTATACTTCAACTCTATGTGACTGTTGTATCTCTGCAAAAATGCAATAGATCAGTAAAAAACTTGATAGCACGATGAATAGCGATTTGATCGTACTTCAAGAGGTATGTTCACATTTTATTTGTATATATTTTCATTCAGGCAAAACAACAGTACTCAATGTCGCGAAATTTGATAAAGATGTTACAATAATGTCAATAATCAGTTCCGATTTTATAATAGAAATTAACAATATCTCTATGTTTTCTATCGACGAGGGTGATCTGTCGAGAACTCGTGTTTATCAACGTGTTTACTATCACAGAATTTCGAAAATTATCTTTGTTGTTAATTCAATTGATAGAGAATGCATTGATAAAGCATGTGATAAACTTCTTCAAATGTTAAATGAAGAAGAACTTCGAAATAAGCCTGTTCTCATTTTTGCCAATAAACAAGATTTATCCAATGCAATGAAGGTGAATGAAATACAAGTTAAAGTCAATTTAACTAACCTCAACAGAAATATTAAGGTAGAACTAGTTGATCGAATCAAACCGATTAATGAGACAATTGACGATTTGACCACAATGAAACGTGGTCTGATGTCCATACGGAATGTGGCGAATTTTAAAATATTGTGGAATAATTTTTTTTAGTTTTCGTCGATTCTCGATGAAAATAAAGAAAAAAATATGTAAATATGATATAACTGAAGAAATCAAATTTTCTTTTCTAACGAACAGAAATATAACCAAACAATTTCTATTCAATTTATTCAACTTACCGCATTGGAAGAGAAAAGAAATAGTCATTTATTGATTCTGAATAGTGTTAGAATAACATTTACTTTATTTTAAAAAGATTAAGTATGATCTATCTCGCTCATTTTTAAATCTCACTTTTCGACGTCATAGGAGCACATTTAACTTTCATGAAATAGGAAAGTAGATCGAAAATTATCAAAACCTTCGACAACAAGCAAGACACAGGTAATTAAGCCCAGTAAATTCAAATACACATTCTACACATGAGGAAATATTGTTCTCGGATACGCGTTTTTCCATGGAAAGAATTCTAAATATTATTGTTGGTGAAATTACTGAGTTAAGCAAACAAAAAATATTGAACGAACTTCTTCTCAACTCTTTCCCGAAATGAGCGTTTGACAATATGGAAATTCCCATGATGGTGCTTCGAATTTCATGTTTTTTTTATGACAATATTTCCAAAATGATATCGTCCTGTTGGGATGAGTGTTAAGGAATGCGACACTTCTATTCTCTCACACCTACACTCACGTGTCTCAGTATAATTATCATTTGTTCGGTTATCGACTTCTTTGCACATTGAATTTTCATTTATGAAAATTTTGTTAAAAAAATATTCAAGATATTTCATAAATATTGGCATGTACTTTGCTTCAGTTAAATAGAAAAAAAAACGAAAGTGTACTCATGTAAAAAAAAGTTGACAAGAAATCAGATTAAAATTAATTGTTATTTCAGTCACAAAAGCAGATTTTTCTAATTTTTTCCAATCAATTTTAATTGATTGAAAGTTATTGATCTCTTTTAAGAGGTTAATTTTTTTTTACAGATTAAATTCAATTTAAACAAATTCTAAATAATAGGATAAATCTGCATTTGTTGCTGAAAAAAAATCGGTTTTAATTTCATTTCTTAAAATTTTTCTCATTGGATATTTCTTGAACTTCCCTAAATGTTACGATGTCATGAAATAATTCCATGAAAAATTAGACAAAAGAAATGATTATTCGATGCAAAAACTTTTATTTGTTAACACAAAATTACAGTCTACGCAACAATTTAAGTGGTAAGCACAGAATATCACAATGATTATTACTCATATTGGATTTGTGAACGAACATCAAAATTTGATTGAGACAGGAAAAATGGTACGTATTCTAAGATAGGTCTTCTTCTTTCAGCGTAGTAATGTGATAGTTTTCATTCACACTTGCTTGAAAGGATATGATAATTTCAAATTGCAAAATAACTTATAATATCTACAAGTATTTCTACGATCATTTTTGAAGTCTTATACCGTTCTGTATAGTTTGCTTTTCTATTTAATCACAAACAAAATGAACGAAAACGTGATAAAAATCAGTTACCATAGTAGAGGCACTCTGTAAAATGCAAAATAATAGCAAAAGTGCTGAATAACGAATGTTCGACGATGTTTTGAAATGGCACATATTAACATTTTTTTTGCTAAAATCTTTCTGATACAAGTGAGAATCATCTAGACATATGACTATCTAGATTTGCAAGGCTTTTTAGTGATAGAATCGGTTTTCACTAAACTTAATTTATTTCAATAGATTAAAATATATGTATGAAGTGTTAGTAAGACTAGCTAAAAAGAAAGGAAAAAGTGTTCATAGTAATGACATAGCAATCATATATTTAGCACCCGCCAAAATTTTGAACCCAATAGGCTCCGTAAGTACCGCCTTGAGCATATCCAACGCCAAGTGCTTTATAACTTTTGCTCATGAGATTAGCACAGTGTCCAGAACTGGCGATCCAACCATTGACTGTCTTTTCAGGAGTTTGATTGCCAGCAATATTTTCGGCGCCGCCACAATTCTTCGGATAACCTGCAGCTTCTGTGCGTTCCCAAAACTGGCTTCCATCTCTACCTGTATGAGAAAAGTAGTTATATTGAACCATGCTTCTGGCATGTTTAGTCGCAGCGTTGCCCAATCGATCATCCCATCGAAGAGCCGGTGCGGCAGGATACCAAGTCGAACCACAACTCCGGCCCTGCTGTCGTGCTTGATTTGTTAGATCGAATACTCTTTGCTGGTAAGAGTTGCTGGGACTTCGGCGTTCGAAATCACGAAGAACAATACTATCATCATCGTCTTCATCATTGTCTTCATCATTGTTTTTAATTGATCGTAGTTGTTCACTAAAGCTAAGATCTGATTCATCTATCGATTCAGCTGTACCTAATATTGTACGGAGTCGAAAACGATGATCATTTGCTGGCGATGAATGAACCACTTGTCCAAGAGCCAAGCAAATAAAAACCAAAAACATCCACATAGTCATTGTATAAATTTCACAAAATTTGACTAAATAAAATAGAATATATTCAGATCTTTCCCATGTATTTTATATAGTGTACATTGACAGTAGTAATGAAAACAGAATCAATATTCATATAACAACGATCCTGCTATTCTATCTAATTTAAAAGTCAATCAATAATAAATAAAAAATCCGAAAGGAACTATTCATAGAATATTAGAATTTGTATAGTTCGTTCTATTTAATTTTTCCATTCATCTATGAACTATCGTAATGATAAAACAGATGGAACCCAACTGGTATTTCGACACTTAGTTTTCAATCATAGGAACGATTGTTTCTGAGAAAGCCTAAATTTGATCAAAATACAGAAAAGACTTTGTCCAATAGATTCATCATACTCGAGTCGTCGAAACCTATCGAATATACGTGGAGAAAGAGATTCAAACATGGATACTTATGATTCAGTTTCGTCAAACATCTAAACTAAATATGAACTAGTATTCTTCTATGAAAGTCATCTTTTCAATTCATAAGAATATAATACTACTTTGACAATTATGTCTTTTTAATACTTGCTATCAGTTTTTAAAAACTAAAAATAACATTTTTTTTTTAATTTACGAAAAAAAAAACCATCGCATGTCTCTTGCCTAGGGGTGGCACTTTATCTTTATTTCACTTTATTAAAGTAAAGTAAAGTAATCCTACTTTACTTTACTCGATAAAGTAAAGTAGATCAGCTTTACTTTATCCGGTAAAGTAAAGTAGGATTACTTTACTTTACCCAGTAAAGTAAAGTAACCCAACTTTACTTTACTTGATAAAGTAAAGTAACCCAACTTTACTTTACTTGATAAAGTAAAGATAAAGTGCCACCCCTACTCTTGCCAAAGGAATAGATTTGCTGGAGTTTGAGATACTCTATGTAAAGAGCTTATTACATAAATATGACATCTGATAACCAACTGATGTGTGTGTGCTAAGTATTAAATCAATATTTAAAAATTTTTTCAAAGGTTCAAAATATGAACCTTCGTTATGATCGCCTCTATCAAGAGCGCTTATGCATTTTGTTCGTAGTTTTCATCAGTTGATGTTAAATATTGCTTAGTAAATTATTAAATTAAGATGAAACATCTGCCGAACATAAATAATTCTGCTAAGATTATTGAATAAAAGTAAAAGACATTTCAACAATACATCTTGTAGCAGTTTCACGTAATCAAAATTAGACTCAGTAGTCGAAAATGTTATTATACGAGGTTTGCTTCTACTGGAACACTCAAAAGTATTCTTCCGATATATTTGTTTTCTTCAAGTAGTTAAAACTTCGATAGATTTCTTCTCATTGGGTACTTGAAGCTTCGATGAATGCCGACGATTCGAAACGTGTTCAATGAGTCGAAAATGAGTACTTGATAGGATATAATTTTCGGATGCCCCGATTCCGTTGGCTGTCGAGAGGCTCGAAATTGTAATAGAACGAAAAAAAATATATACTTCAAATTTTCGACCACTCGTCACACTCATTGTATGGTTTTAATAGTGTGCTTAGAAAAAATACAGGCCTTGTCTACATACTGCATTTTGCTAATGAAGCAAATATTTGAGTATAGATCTTGTGTGATGACAAAAATCCTTGAAAAATATTATGTTAAAACCAAAATAACAGCGAAATCTTCTGATCTATATAACATTCGAATAAAGTCAGTTGAATAGAAGTTTGGAAATAAATAGAATTGGAATTAAAAAATTCGATTGTTCACATAGGAAAGCTAACTTATTGGCTATGAGAAAATATCTTCATCAGTGAAACTTATCAAAAACATTAGTGCATATAATATGAAAGCAATGAACATGTCGAGGTTTTTTTTTGCTTTTTCTAATAGAGTAGAAATATATTAGTCAGTGATGAATTGCATTTTGTATTCGATCTATGTGTCGCTTTTCCAAGGATATATTAGTTTCTAATAATTATAGAAAAGTAGCCAAATTTGTTGATAACGTTCTGTGTGTGTATGACACTTGACAATCACTACTCAGTGCCAAAGAATCTATAGAAATTCAAGAGTGATAACCCAACACTTGTATAAAAGATCGTTCTTGCTGATCCGTCAAGAAGACAATTCAAGCCGATCATGAACAAGAAAGCAATAAGATGAAATTCAATATAGTTATGGAGGCAAAAGACAATTATCGGACATTAATGAGTAAGGTCGTTGAAGAAGATTTGTAATACAAAATTTTAACTATTCACGGTCAACTCGTAGAAACATTGTCTCAAATACTCAAAGTCATGAACTAAACCCCCCCCCCCCCCGGCACATTAGAAGACCCGGGGTCTTCTATTCTGTCTTACCGTTCATAAGTTAAAAGGGGAGTCTTCTATTATGTCCCTAAAAAAGGTCATATTTTTTGGCAGTTTTGCCGAAGAATCTTACTTTCATTTGATTTTTGTCCCTGATATCGTTAAAAAATGAGTTTTTTTCTACTTGTTTCAATTGTGCAGGGTAAAAAAAAACAAATATTATCTCGTGAGAAAGGGGAGACCATGGTGCATAGGAAGTATTCTTAGCAGATACATTCATTGTATCCCAACATTTTGGTACGATATCTGTTAGCGTTCTTTTTTAAGGCTAAGATCTATCACTGCAATATTTTATCTTCTCGATAATTAAATAAATGCAAAAAAGAAAATTATTTTTTTTATCAAAATCATTTAATTTAGTTACTTATGTGAAAGTTTGATTAACCCCTTTCCCCTCCCTCTTACCACAGAATGGAAGTCCAGGGTGTGCTCCTGTTCCGCAAGCTATAACTTTGCAACGATGCATATCTCGATAAGAGTTTTTGCGTTATTTGATAGAAAAATGTTTATTCTTTCATTGTTCATCGGCTTTGGTTCATTTTTCATAACGCGAACCTCGATTGTCAACGGAGAATTCTAACCTACCGGATGGAGTTCAATTCTGTGAGGAAAGAAGTTTAGTATAGATGGAAATCATTTACAGTCAATTCTTCTACCAGCGTAGTTATAAATCTCAAGCTAACTTCGATAAGTATAATTGTCTTATTAAAAACTATTTATAGAAGATCTGTAGTTGAATATACAATCCGTGTTTTCTTTTGCATCTGTCTCGAAGATGCCTTTGGGTCTTATGGAGAAAAGAAATAGGTTCGCAAACTCTAAAGAAGTATTCATATATAAAACCATGATGTACCTACATGAAGTTATATTTTCTTTTGTTATGGATCACTATTTTGTGGTTCAAATGCTTCTGATTCTCTAGAAGAAAGTCGAAGATAGAGAGGTCTTTGTATTAATACACATCAACATTTTACCTAATCTTTTACTAATGTGTAAAGATCTCTTCATTCATTATACGTGGAAAAATGTACCGTACTCATTAGACCCTGTTTCTGTGAAAGCGTATTTTTCATGCATAGAAACTGAAGAATATTTATAAACTAAGCTGCAAAGAAGTACCGAAATGACTCCACAAGATGTTGTTAACAAAGAAACACAATCTTTAATAGATAGATCTTTCCTATAAACTACTTCACAAGATTTCACTCGCTCGGATTTGACACTTTGCTATAAGAATGAAAGGAAAATCTTTTTCGTATTGAATTTAGACATAATTATGAACTTAAATACTAAAAAAGTCAATAAAATTCAGGAACTATTTTAAAATATCAGTTTTTTAAGGGGGATCTTCTAATATGTCTGTTGCGTCATTGATTCAAGCGGGGTCTTCTAATATAGGGGGGGGGGGGGTCCTCTAATATAGGGGAGTCTTCTAATGTATCGGGGGCTTTAAGCTTTTTATAGTTTCCACCTAATGTGCAGTAATATCTAACTTGAACGAGATCGACTTTGACTTAAGCAGGCTTCCCCTTTGCGAGATTTTTGGAGAACAGCTCATCAGAAAAAAGCGAAACTTTCAGACTAGATAAATCTTGATGAGTAGATTAAAATTTGTCTTAGACCGAAAATTTTCAATTGTTTTTTTCTTGGGGATATCAAGGTCACAATGGGTAAAAACCAATCCCCTTCCCCAATCGCATTGTTTTCTCGGCCTAAAAACGTCCCATACAGCTGAAATTCTTTTTTTACATATCCTAGACACTGTTTCAGATACCAACGTTTTTTGATTTTGTTTCAGTTCCTCTAATACAAGTTCTAGTTTGATCAAGCATACTGTAACGAACAAATGGGGACGATTCTGCACTTTTTTGTGTAAAAACTGATTTCAAAAAACACCTTTGGAATGAGAAATAATAATCATCTTCATTGGGGAGAAGTTAGTATAGAATAGTATAATCGTAGCACGAGTTTTCTGCTAGTGATTTTGAAAGTTGGATTTAATAAATGTATCAACTAACAACGAAGAGTATCCATTTATATGGCATTTAACAAAGAACACTTCGGGACTATATTAGTAATGAAGAGGTAAAAATCGAACAATTTTGATTTTCATGTCCGAAAAGGGGATTGAAATCCCCTTCAGCTCATATTTGTGTCGAAAAAAATAAGCTGTTGCTATTTTGTATCAAACGTACAAAACCTAAATGGGTTTCCTTCAGGTCCAAGTATGATTTGAACTTCTAACAGAAATATCACTTACTTAGAATTTAGTTGCTTAGTGTGCCCGATTTTTCGTATGCCAACCATACAAATGATCCAAGATATTTATATACATTTTTATTTGCGTATTTTTTTTAATTTTTTTCCCTTCGATAGTTTCGTTTGTCCTTTATATTTGTCAATCCGGTTGATTACCAGCGGCACGACTGTGCATTATGAATTGTATTGATGCGTGAAATTCATGCAAATCACTCTTAATATGTTTTTTTAGGCACATTTGCGTAAAAGCAAATATCAGATAACATGATCTTTTCATAATATCATTTTGCTATAGTACTTACTAGACTCGTGCCATACAAATAGAAAATATGTGTGATATATAATCATATTATTTTTTGTGTTGGTAACCAAAGAGTTA